TGTTCATGAAACACGACATCTCTACTTTTGACAGTTTTCTTTTTTTCTGGGTCCCATAGTCTGCAGCCAAACTCCTCATCACCATATCCAACAAAAATGCATGGAATGACTTTATCATCCAGCTTTGACCTGTGTTCATTTGGCACGTGCATAAATGCTTTGCACCCGAACACTCTCAAGTGAGAGTATCCAACATCCTTTCTTGTCTATGATTTCTCTTGGATTTCAAAGTTTAAAGGAACTGCAAGTGACCAATTGATCAAATACACTGCCGTGTTGACTGCTTCACCCCAAAATGGCTCAGGTAGCGTTGCCATTCTTAACATGCATCAAACTTTTCCACAATGGTACGATTCATCCGTTCTGCTACGCCATTATGTTGTGGAGTGCCAGGAACTGTCTTCTCATGCCTTATGTCATGCTTGGAACAGTAACCTTTGAATTCTTTGGAGGTGTATTCCCCTCCATTATCTGTACAAAGACATTTTAGCTTTAAACCTGTCTCCCTTTCCACCGTAGCATGGTAATGCTAGAAATACTTGAAAACTTGGCTTTTATTCTGCAACAAGTATACCCAAGTTTTTCGAGTTGTATCATCAATAAGGTAACAAAATATTTATTGCCACCAATCGACTTTGCCTCCAGGGGACCACAAACGTTAAAGTAGACCAAGTCTAGCTTATTCTCCTTCCAAGTCAAATTCTTTTGAAAAGAAACTCCGTGTTGCTTTCCAAATAGGCAAACATCACAAGTATTCACATTTTCACTTTTGGCAATAGGAATAAGGGATTGCTTAGCCAAAAGTTGCAATCCTTTCTCGCTCATGTGAGCTAATCTATTATGCCATAAATTTGGAGAAGCCTCATCTTCAACTGTGTTTAGTTAACCTCCACACATTTTTATGTGTGTCTTGTCTAATGAGCAACATGCTCTTCCTTTTGCCACCACCATTAATCCTTTGGTGAGTTTCCAATTGCCATTCTCAAAGTAGTGTGTGTATCCTTCTTCATCCAGTGCTTTTGCAGACAACAGATTCATATGCATATCAGGAACATGTTGCATATTTTTTAGTGTCAATGTACATCCAACATTTGTCTGGACACAAATATCATCAATTCCCATAGTATGAGAAACACTATTGTTTCCCATTTTTATGGTGCCAAAGTCTCTTGCTTTGTATGTTGAAAAATATTCCCTTTTGGGAACACAATGATAAAAGGCACTAGAATCAATTATCCACTCGGCATTTGAGTTTTCTATGTGGCAGCACTCCCCATGATCACATAGTAGAGTCACATCATCGCCACTGGTAGATGCTACAATGGTAGTATTGCTATCTTCAACCTTTTTCTTGTCTTTTCCTTTCAACAAGTTGCAGTTCCTTTTCATGTGGCCTGGTTGACCACAATGTTAACACTTCACTCTACTTTTGGACTTTGATTTGGATCTACCTCCTCGTCCTCTGGGTTCTCTGGTCTTACTCTTGTCCCTATTCTCTGTGACTAGAGCTTAAGTATCTGACTATGAGAAGATTCTAGTGCCCGCATCCTTTTTTCTTTTTCAAAGATTCTGTTTTTGGTGATTTCTACTGTGACTTTACCACCAGGAGATGAATTGATCATTGTTGATCTAAAACTCTCCCATGATTTCGGCAAGGTGTTGAGAAGAATCAGACCATTCGCCTCATCATCAAATTCTATGCCCAAATTGGCTAACTCCTTGATGATGCCAAGGAAATCATTAACATGGTTTGCTGTGGGAGTGCCATCTTTGTACCTTGAGTACATCAATTGCTTTATATAACACAATTTATTCTACCCAATCTTCACCTGGAAAAGCTCGTCTAGCTTTGTCCATAGTGTGCGTGCATTAGTTTCATCATTGATATGATTTAGCACACTATCATCAATCCATTGTTGGATAAATCCACACACTCGTTTATGGAGTAGCCTCCATTCTTCATCCTTTATGCTGTTTGGCTTTTGCTCTGAAAAGACAAGCTCATGAAATTCCTTCACATAAAGAAGGTCCTCCATTTTTCCTTTCCACAGCTGATAGTTTGAACTATTCAGTGTGATCATTTTGCTCTGATTCAACTCCATTGTTCACGTGAATATTAGCACCGCCTAGCTCTGATACCAGTTGTTGGGAAAAATGGTGCGAAAGAATAAACTAATTCCTGTGAACAAAACACGTGAACAATAACAAAGAATGGTGAAACAAGCAGCTCAGCCGATCAATGTTAACGGTTAGTGAAAAAGGCGGCGTAGCCAGCTAAGTAAACTAAATTGGGTGGTTTAACCAGCCACTTAAAAGGAAAAATAAATAATAAGACAACACCAAATTTTACGTGGAAAAAATCCCAAAAAACTATTAAGGGAAAAAACCATGGGACAAACTCCGAAGGGTATTCCACTATGTGATAAAATTGTATGGAGTATACGCTCAAGTATTTTTTCTCTCTTGGTGTTTCCTACTCCCCCCAGGATATGATCACAGTCTTGATAAACTCATAATTTTATCACTCAATGCACTCTCTCTATGGAGCACACTCACACCTAAGCTTGATTCCTAGCTCTCAATCCCTTTTTTCTTTCCACTCGAGCTCTCACTTTGCTCACTTGGTGCTGCACTCTTGCTTCTTACTTCTTACTTGTTGCCTTTGCATGCATGGGTATTTATAAGGAAAGAAGCCAACCACCCATGCATGAATTTCTTTGCCTATTAAATGAGCAAGCTTGTAATGGTTGAATTTACCATGCAAACATTCAACAAGAGCTGCTATAGGTGCGGCCTTTTACCATAGGGTCAGACATTTACCACATGGAAAAGTCCATGTGTTCACATGGGTAGGAATTTTTTGCCAACAATATCCTTCTAATTAAATAATATAGCTTATGTACATTTATAAAGTTGCCTTAGTGAAGCCATTCCATTTAGAAATATTTATAAATTTAAGTGGAAACTCAAAGAAAAAAAAAGTTTGTAAATAACCATTTATTCTGTTTTCAATTGTGGTTCAAGATTTGTCTTCTTCTTTTTTCTTTTTTCTTTTTCTTTTTCTGACAGTAGCATGAATGAAATATAGAAATTCATGAAGAAAAGAATGGCTTCATCATGCATCTATTTCTCCACTTAACCAATTATATATGTAATATTAGGTATTTTTATACCAAATAGGATTAGTTGTTGAGAAGAAGCTGAAGAGAAGTCAAAATAGATTGATAGTGAAATAAAAATTTGATTGCTTTTAGATAATTTATGTACTTTAAGTACTTTTATCTAAAGAGAAAAGTATTAGGGATTTCAAGTGAGTTGAAGCCAAGATTCTTTTGAATTTTCTCTAAAATTGTTAACCTTATATTGATATCTCTTTTCTAATCTATTCTCCTAGATAGTTTTGTTTCCTTTTAATTATTTCATTAAATAATTGAACGTTAATTCTACAAGAAAACAAAAGGACTTTGATTGCCTTAATGACCCTAAATATACTCAAAGAGAACTTTTGCCTCTATAAGACCTATTTTCTTCTTGTTCTTTTCTTTTTAAAATCTTTTTTTTTTTTAATAAGACGCAGATGCTTTTTGGTTAGAATTGGAAGCATTGATTCTCTCTTCTATTTCAATATGTTTTGTGACATTTTGAATCTTATATCGAGATAAAAGTAAGTAATCAGTATATAATTATCATGATTAATTATTATTAACAATTGAGTTTGTGCTTTTGGGGGTTTGTAGATTTTGATCTAATAGCTTGTTAAATAAGTAGTGAATTTCAGCTATTGTAGTTTAATTTTTTTGCTTGATTATTATTATTATTTATGCATCTATGATTGTGTTTTATGTTGCAATATATTCTTAATTATGAACTATTCTTCAATTCTAGAGAACTGCTGTCTTAATTCCTCTCTTAATAACATAAGAAGCTTTATGCCTTATATAAGTTGAGATTTGCCTTTTTATTTCACAAGGAGATAAGGATCTGATGGCTGGTCTATGTTAATTCTAACACCGTGTTTGTTCCATGACATCTTCGACTAATGGCATTTTCCAATATGAAATAAAAAATATTCATTTTAAAGTTACTTCAAATGGATTCTATGTGACCATATATTAGCAGGGTATATTACGAAACTTTTCAAGTAACATTATTCAACGACTTTGATGAAAAGTTCAATCAGAACCAGCTTTATGATTCGTTTTAACATATTTTTTTAACACAACATTTTATTTAAAAATATAAATTTATAATTTAAAATTTATTTTTATATAGTTTTATTAATTATAATTAATGTTTTATGTATTTTAAAGATAATAAAAAAATTTATAGTTATAAAATAGTACAACACAATATTAATAAACAAAATTTTAATCTTGCATGAGTAATCTAGAGACCATCATTTACTAAAAAAAAAACCATGCTGTCACTAAATCTCGATCCTTGCATCTAATACTTTTAATATCTTCCATGTTAAAGATATTAGAAAATTTGGGTAATGAACTACTTCAGGGAATAAATATTAGATTTTGTATGGCTTAATTCAATTTTTAGTTTATTAACTATCACCTTGATTTCATTTTAGTCTAGAAATTATGTTTTATTTCTAAGTGGTCTATTAACTTTCAGATTCATTTCAATTTCATCTACCAAGGTTATCTTTTACGGAAAACTTATTATTCCTGTTAGAGAATAGTTAGTCCTCTAACTATATTTATTTTGATCTTTTAATCCTCAAATTTATATTTACTGTAAAAACAACTTTTATACTTAAAATTATTATTTCTAAACTCTAATACCGAATTTTTATTCAGGTTTTCAGAACTTAACTCAGATTACTACTAACTAATGAATAGCTTATATGTTAAGCTTAGTTAGTATGGAATTAGATTTACTAGACTACTAACAAAAATAATCACTTTCTAGTTGTGTCTAGATCTTATAAAATTTTTTATCTATATCACTTTCTAGTTGTAGAATTATTTTATTATATATTTTTATGATTTGATAGCAAATTTTTCAGCGATTGCTTTTAATGTCTTTAATAGACCTTATTTCTTCTTTTATTTCTTTCAATTTTCTCGAGTTTTTAACATTATTTATTCTTTCTTTAATAGAATCAAATTCTTGAGAAAGAGATTTTCTCATTTCTTTAATTCTTCTTAGGGTATTTTCATTAATTGTTTCTATTTTTAAAATATTATCAGTTATTCATTAGTTAATAATAGTCTGAATTAAGTTCTGAAAACCCGAATAAAAATCTGGTATCAGAGCATAGAAATAATAATTTTAAGTATAAAAGCTGTTTTTACAGCAAATATAAATTTGAGGACTAAAAGATCAAAACAAATATAGTTAGAGGACTAACTGTTCTCTAACAAAATAGTAAGTTTTCCGTCAAAGATAATCAGGTAGACGAAATTGAAATAAATCCAAAAGTTAATAGACCACTTAGAAATAAAACATAGTTTCTAGAGTAAAATGAAATCAAGGTGATAGTTAATAGACTAAAAATTGAATTAACCCGATTTTGTATCATGCCTAATAATTGATATTGGGTAAATTACATGAATGGTCACTCACCTTTATCATAACTTTCAACTTAGTCATTCTTCTTTTAAATTTATAAATTTAGTCACCTAACTTTCATTTAAGTTGCTACCGTTAATCACTCACCGTTAGTTAGCACTTCTGTTAATTTTGAC